TTGGGGTTTGGGGTTTTAGGGATTTTAGGGGTTTAGGGTTTAGGAGTTTAGGGGTTTAGGGGCTGGCTACATTAAGGGCCTTGATAATTCGAATAGGGTTGGGGAGCCTAAACTCTAAACCCCGACCCGTCTATTAAGGAACCCCAAGGAATCATCTTGCCAAAACTATCGGCTTCTGCCCTAAACCCTAAACCCTAAACCCCTAAAACCCCTAAACCCCTAAACCCTAAACCCCTAAGCCCTAAGCCCTAATCCCTAAACCCCTAAACCTCTAAACCCCAAAATCAATCCTGGCTTTGAAAGCCAGCTTTGCAGGCCTGGGCTTGCCATCGACCACGGCCTCGCCTCAGGTTGTCGCAGGAATATGGCTCAGTCAGAACATCGGGAACAGTTTAGAGGTTTAGGATTTAGGGGTTTTGGGATTTAGGGATTTAGGGTTTAGGGGTTTAGGGGTTTAGGGTTTAGGGTTTTCGGGTTTCGGGGTCTCCGATTTTCAGTATACAGCCATGTTGCAACACTTGAAGGCACACTTCTGAGTGTCGCGGTCCAGCTTTTGCAGCAATGCTCCACCTGCGAATGTATTTAGCACAAATGTCGTGAACACTCCCCCTTTCACCCGATAATCGTATGATATAAGATAAGCTATGATAAGATAAGAGTTCATATACGAACGATACTTTAATACAATTTACAACAGCACAATTAGGTGTAACGGCATGTCATAAATGCCACACAGTCTGACAAAGTATAACATGACATTTCTACACTAGAGTACAACATATTATATAACATAGCATGACGTAGTGAAACATGCCCGCATAATATGAAACTATGATTCTGATATGACAGAATGATGTAAAAATTATAGTCAAATCTAGTATAACAAACAGTATAACATCATTAAAAGGCAAGAAAAGGAACCATATTACGTTGTAGTATAAGTGTAGTGTAGACTGTAATCGGTCTCATGTTGCGGACACAGGCCTGAGCCGAAGCAAACATTCTCGGCCGCCCATTTTTTGGCCTGAGGCCAGCACCCTTACAAAATGGACCCTAATTTAGAGAACTACCCATGTCGATACGCTCGGGTCGCGCCTGTCTTGGTGAGCCAAAAGTGCGAAACCAAGGCTTCCGGAAGGTCTGACCCGATGATTCCAACAGGCTCAACTGGAGAGAGTATGTGCTGAGCTGCCCGTCTGAAGCACGGACTACCCTGTTCCGATGCAAGACGCGGGTAGGATCGAGGGCCGCCATGAGACTAAACCGACATGACTGTACGTACTTAGTACGACGAGCGAGCAGAAAAATCAGCACAACACGCATGCACGACCAAAGTATGTGCTGGCAACCAGCCGCATTGCACGCCACTGCTGCCATGTGGCTTCAATGTTTGCCAGGATCTCTTTCAGCGACTCGTAGGAAATACCGTCACCCTGGATGACGCGGATGTAGGGAGGCAGCACCTTGCGAGGACAAGCTGGGTTCAAGCTGCGACTGTTGAAGTGCGTCTCGCGCCTTGAACCCAGCTGAGTTGGTGGTGACCGGGAAGTGCCTGAGAACATGGGACATGCACTGCTGCAGATACTCTAAATGCAGCAGTTTGTGGGCCAGAAGACCCTAACCCCCCAGGTACCTACTATACAGGGTACTAGAGCCCCTAGGGCCCTCCTAGGGCCCATGGTAGGTACCTGGAGGGTTTGGGATAGTTGGTGAATGCTAGCCCGAGGATGCCATATTGCTTTGTGACGCTAATGCATACCCCCGAAACCTGTTCTAGCTACTGGTACCAGGGCCCCCTATGTTCTGCTTAAAGCACCTCGCCCCAAGCCCCGAAGTATCGAAACCTGCGACTTCAAGATGTGGACCGACGCGCTGCCTAGGGTTTAAGCGTTTAGTTTCGGGTTTAGGCTAGGGTTCATGTTCTGCTGCTGGTTCAGCACATCTCCTACACGGGGGGGTCTCCGATAGTAGCATGTCCCAGCCAGGTGCTCGACAATCCTTCCAAGGAGGAAACACGTTGCTCCCAACAAAGCCACAGCTTTATCAACCCTTATAGTACACTTACAGAAACCCCCTCTAGAAACCCTTATAAATCCCCTTTTGGGATTGTGCGAGGTGCTTCGAAAGTCGCTCCAGAACCTCCACGACGATGGTCTTGGGATCGCCTCGCGACTCTTTCGATGCAAAGACTCTGCCTGGATCTGAAGTTCGGCTCTAACCAACGCCACGAAGAAAATCCTAGAGCCTTTAATCCCTAGACTCCAAATTCGAAATCCTAGGACAAAAAGCTAACGGCCAATCTATATATATATATATATATCTATCTATCTATCTATCTATCTATCCATCTATAAAGTACCTCACTCCCGAGCTCACCGCGCAGTGCCTGAGTCAGGTCGCACGACCAGCTTGCCAGTGGGTGGAGCTCGGGAAGCGATGAGATCTTTCCTCATGCAAACAGGCGCACTGAGGTGTTGAGTTTAATGTTTGACACGACCTTACGCCCTAAACCGGACCTAGTATAAGTTTAGGACAGGTTTAGTCTAGGGCTAAAAGGCGCCGCCGCCCCCTTCAGACGGCAGATGCCGAAAAGCTGCAGCTCGGTGCCCCAGAGCTTTTCGCACGCATTGTAGATATCCTGACTCAAGTCTCTCCAAGTCAAGCTGGCGACGTGAATGCATGCTTTAGGTCCCGCAGGATCGATTTGCAAAGTCTGAGCCCCTCGCGTAGGAATCCGAGACGACGGCAACAATGCCCTCCGGATACTGCTTCAACATGTTCTCGAAGGCGTCCTTCTCGCCTGGCTCACAAGTTCAACCGACCAGTTGCAAATGCAGGGCTTAGGGCTCAGGATGGACAACTCGACTGCCTGCTTTGGTCCAGCTTGTGATGGTGGAGTGCTCTGCAGCTGGCACGGAGGTGCCGGCACAAGCTTCCAGCGGCAACTTGTAGTAATCGATGGCCGTGCACAAACCTGGCATGCGCCGCGATGCACGGGGGCAAGATCACGCTTCGACACGGAATGTCACACTGAAGCGTGCTGCGCAAGTTAGAAGGCAGTTTCGGTGCACAGCGCCTGGCATGGTGTCGCTGCCGCAGAAGTTGACCAAGTGAGCTGCACCTCCGATCCCTGCCGTCTCCATGGAAGAAACGCCTTAGGTAGGACCACTCATGCTGTCAGTTCTTCGAAGGTCCGATCCAGAAGTCGCCTCGGCAGCCGAAGTCGTTGAGCTGGTAGCCCACAGTGATCATCTTCAAGGGCGCAGGGAGCTTGTTCGGCATGTTGGGCAGGTCCGTGCCTCAGCTCTGAATTTCCTGGCACAGCCCTCAAGACCAAACATCAGTCAGCGGTATCTCTTCAGCTGCTGGGAAGGAGCCGGTCTTGATGAGGGAATCCATAATGACCTGGAGTCTGCAAACGCTCGCTGATATACTATGTTACATGTCGTTCTCGTATACTATATTGTACCAGAGTGAGTTATAGAATATTGCATATCAAGTGTACTATAGTCGACAATATTGTGCTGTATCATACTATATGGTACAAGATCATGTCATATCAGATCACATTATACCATATTCTGATATCCATCTGACCTCATATTATATTAATTATACTATATTGCATTGTACGATTAGAGTTTACCATATTGCGTAGCATTATGAAAATTATACTGCACTATATTATGCTATACTGCTATACCATGCTGTATTGCATCATCTCGAATTATAGTCTGTCGTCATATCATGTCATATGCTGTTCATATTATATCACATTACAATATAGTACAATATATCACATTATATGACACTATGTTGCATTATGTTATAGTATATTGCATTTTAAAACACTATAGTACATTATATTCTATTTCGATAAACCACGTTTTACTACAGTATATAAAACTTATTATGATTTTACACTATACTACGTCACATGATGTTCCATTAGACTGCGCTATATTACACTTTACTACATTATATTAAATTACATTATCCTGCGTTATATTTCATTGTATTACATTACATTACATTACATTACATTGCACTGTGTTTTCATGATACACTTTAAACATGCTATTATGTGTATTCGGCTGTTGATGAGACGTGGACTGGATGCTAGTTGTGGCCCTCGCTCTGCATTCAACAATTGCCTTTGCCATGCAGAACGGATGACAGCTCAAGCAAGCTGCTCATTTCGGTCAATGACAGCTTCGTACGTGCAAGTTGTACGAGACGGCCCTGCCATCCTCCACATGATGTCAAATGTCGACAAACCCTCAACATTCTTCCCAGGTCACCATAAGACCGCAATAGTCTGCAAACAAAGTGCTTTCTTCTGCGCACGGGACTGCGTTGCCACCGTCATCGGATACCAAACCTGAACCAGCAATGTCTCCAGGTAATTGGTGAGCCAGAAGCCTCGGTGAAGACATGCGAACTGCGCAGCGCAGCCAGTCAGTGCACATGGGAACTGACGCAAGCTTCAAACTCGAATCTGCTTCAAGGGCACACTTTGGATCAGTGTTTACGACCTTGGTTGAAGAGACGGACTCTCTCAGGCGCATTGGTACTTCGTCGTGAATTCAGCGGACCCCACCCGGCATCCATCTTACGAAACGAGCTTCGGATTGAGGGGGGAGGGGGGTATCAGGGTTCAATGTTGTAAGGGAGCTGCATGGTCACGAGAATTGGATGTTGATGCGACCAAGATGAAGGGATTTCATTGCACTCCTCGTCACTGATCCAAGTATGACGGTATTTTTTGGAGTCGTGACGGTTGCAACCGTCCAGTTATTAGCAAATACATGGCTGGAGTAGTTGACATCGTCGAGGTCGCAGCAACTGAAGCACCAGCAGTCACAATCAGTAGCACTCGTCGAACTGCTCTGAATTTGTCTTGTAGCGCATAGTTTGCAAGATGCGCTTGCAAACTAGACTTCCAAAGCCGTCTCATCAGGTTGCCTAACTGCGGGCAACTGCTACCAGACTCAGATAGGTTCAGATGCATGGAAAGAGTGCGGTGTCAAGGCAAGTCACAGTCATCAGCACGTTCTTGACAGGGACCACCATTCCTTCGGGCGCGGCCTCCCGTGGGATGCAAAGTTCAGCCACCTCAGACCCAAAGTGGGCTCAGGCCTTGATGACAATCGGGAGCTTGCCGTCATGCTGTTGCAAGATATATTCCCATCCCTCGCCTTGGTAGCAGAGGCATTTTGGTTCAGGACTCACGAACATGCCTCCTCACACCTGCGGACAAGGGCACGGTTAAAGTGCTTCATCTCACCAAGGCCCATGTGGGCATTCACAACCTTCTCTGCAGCGTCAATCCGCTCGCGAGTGACAACCTGCACGAAGGCTGCTGCCCATACCCCCTAGAACGCAGACTCAGCTCACGAAAGTTTACATCTATTCGATGCCTTGCCCTGCAGGTATCGCTTGAGGAAGTACTGCAGCCCGAAGAACACCACCTCGTCATACTTCCCGCCGCGGGACTCAAAGTACCTCGCGAAGTTGTCTTCGAAGTCGTTCCACATCAACAATTAACAGGCCCTTAATGATGAGAATAGGCTTGTCTTTGTGGGAGCGGGGGTAAGTTTCTAGCATGTTGATAATAGGGAACATCCCACGCATTACACAAAAGGCCTTGACATAATTAAACTCCCTCCCCTCCCCCAAGCAACAGCGGCTCAATAAAGGTTCAACATGGACCAACATTTGCCTTCCTATGATTCATGACGCCCAAAGCTAGACAACCAGCTTCAAAATAGCTTCAAAATGGTGAGCTGCAGCTTCTCAGAACCGAGCTGGAGTTGCGCCCGTAGTTTCATGTGGGTTTTCCAGGTCCTTGCCTGTAGAACAGCCACCACTGATCTGCTACATACATTATCCACTTTCTCTGCAGCCATGGTCAACACCACCGCCACCGCTGCCACCACTGCCACCGCCACCGCAACCGCTACCAGCACCACCACTACCACCGGCACCCCCACCACCACCATGACCGCCAGGAACAACAGCAGCGGCAGAGCAGTAGTTCTAGCAGAGCAGAAGCTGTCAGCAATATCGCGAACAAGACGAACGATCATCAACAGATCAGCCAATGCAGCCGTCACCTGAAGCAGCAGAAACAGCAGCAGCTGCAGCATGAGCATGGGTGAGCATCACAGCGTTTTCTATCGCCCTGTGCCCCACAGGCCATAGGCAAAATTGACATCTACTTGGTTACTTGGACCCGAAAGCCTTGCAGGACAAGTTGAAGACGAAGGCAATGCGGCCATGGGGCGAGTAGACCTCCGTGGTGCCTGGAGGGTACTGGCGCCAGTGGGAGGTCTTGTAGGAGTCGCTGAGAAGCCTTGCATGTCTAACCACAAGTACTGTTGATGATACAAATCCCTAAACTGTGGGAATTATGGCATGGTACATTCCTTGTTATGGGTTATGCAGGATTTATACCATCAACCGTAGTAAGCTCAGCATTCAAGGGGTGGATCGCAGCTATAGGTGCTTGAATCTGCTTGAATAGCAAACTGCATGCGCTCTTGTCCGAGCAGCATGATGTTGTCTTGAAAGTTGCTGCGGTACGGAGCTGCCTCAGCTTGAATCAGGTCTTCGCGGCCTCTTTTGCATGCTACCATCAGCCGGTTAATCCAAGCATCGCCAGTATCCGTTTCATAAATGGTATCGATCTCTGGCTTGGCGCAGAAGGCACCCATGGCTGCAACAGCCGGCCTGAGATTCAGCTCCTACATTACTTTACATCCTGTCTTGCAGCCTAACACGGACGAACGGACGGGCAAGCAGAGAGAGAGAGAGAGGAAAAAAAAAAGGAGCGAAAGAGATAGACATAGAGACATGACGAGGCACAGAGAAAAAGAGAGACAGAGATGGAGGCAAAGAGAGAGAGAGAGAGAGAGAGAGAGCGTGCACAAGAAACTGAACGCTACAACTCTGCAGGCAGCGGTCCTGGCGAAGCGGCGCAAAGAAGAACTTCTACCGACACTGCTGCAGGTTTTCTTGAGCATAGACCCAATGCGGGCAGATGCAAGCGGTGGTTTTTGGAGCTTGTAGATTGAAAGCCAGTGTGGTCGAGACAGTCTAGCGACTGGGCATCAACAGCTGCAGAAGAGTCGACTCGACTTCTACTGACTCCTCCGGACAAGCCACCGATGCAAGCACGATGCGCTTAGGATCGAGACCGCAGGTATGGCGAGTCTTTCTGGCCGGGTCCCTCGCCACTTCCAAGTCCATTGGCACGGCTGCCATGGTCTCACCTTGCTCGCCAGCACGTTGATCCGCGCTTAAGAGATGCTCCCTACACTCAACAGCCACCCTCGCCGCGCCTTCACTGAGCGCTTGCGCTGCGCACAGAAGATCTGCTTTCTCGCTCTGAGCCAAAACGAGAGAAGAGGCAGCTGATACAGATAATGTCGAACCAAGGAACTATAATTTGCGAGCATGCATACATACATACATACATACACACATACAATCTATCTATCTATCTATCTATCTATCTATACATATTTGTCTATTTATGTATTTATTCATGACTTATGCACATACTACTCGAGTATACTATATCACTATATGCTGTATGAACCAAGCAGGAGTGGCGATTTGCCCTTTTGCTTCAAAGCATGGCGCGCTGCCTGCCGAGCATTCTTCCATCCTCCTGCGCACGGGAGGGATTCCAAGAGCTGTCTACGAGGCTTACGCCGATTGACCTGCACACTTCTGAATCAGACCATTGTGACTCACTATAACTGCTACCACTTTGCTTGAACTGATATGTCTGTTGCGGGCATTATTTTAGCATGGCTTACTACTACCGTACAACTTCAGCGGCGATGGATCAACGTGATCGATCCATCGCCTTGTTGTGGCGATACGACTTTCAGCCAGTGATGGCCGGCATTCGAGCGATAGGCGAGCATCGCCGATTGAAAATCCAGGCCAGGCCAGGCAAACTTTAAAGACTTGTGAGCTTTGCCACTGTGCTTCTGTTTGGCACGGATCACATCCTTTACAGTCTCCCTTTAAGAACCTTTAGAGACGCCACCTCGCGGCGAACTTCTTAAGATGCAAGGCTCTGGTTCCCTCGTAGGTGTAGACTGACGGGCAGGGAGGCGAACAAGTGTGGCAAACGACAACATCACGTAACTTTTTAAGCTGCCGAGACGAAGAGATGCCACGAAAGGTATCAAACACAACTGCGTCACTGCATATCGATATCGGAGGAGACCAGCAGCCCGTGGCTTGTATGATTCGGCATATGGCAAAGCTCAAACTGGCTTGACGCTGCTAGACATGCTACCTCCAGCCTTTGCTGGCGCACTCGGTGAAACAGATGAACATGGCTTGCTCATGCACCTGTGAAACACATCTACGTCCCTGCCAAACAGGCATTCTTCTGAGAGAAACGCAGCTACACTTACAAGTAAGTACTCACGGCCGTCGTGTACAAGTGCAAACCGAAGTCAGATTTGCAAGGCAATGCTTCAGCCCCCGCAGGCAAACTTTGGCTGCCCAGAGCTGATGCAGAGCTGCACACTCAAGCGTTTAAGCAGACGATACGCCCCTGCGCCAGTCGTGCTTGAAGCAGGGCAAGAGCAGCAGAGCACTCACATCATGTCAGCCAACAGCATCCGATGAAGAGCGATCCACAGAGGGCCCTCTGCTGTGCACTTTTTCGCTGGCGAATGCGCTCGCAGTCCAGGATTTGGGCTGCACATGCTGCAAGCTGCGCAGAAGCAGTTTCTCGCACTGCTTCGTTGATAAACCGGCGCGATTGTGCTTAACGGGACGATGCCAATACGCAGCCTGCACCAGGTGATTCTAGGGTGACACAACATGCCAATTCGGCGTCGATTTCCGTCCTGCAATGGAATTCGCTCTGAATTCACATTCCGCACAAACTCCGTGCGAACATCTCAACACATGTCGAACCCAATCACAGGCGAAGAACGCTGACATCTGTCACGGTGCTCGCACCACGAAAGAAGATCGGACATTAACTTCGAAATGTTTCAAAGGTCGAGAAGAGAGCCTGGCAACGCAACACTGCACTTGTCAGGCTTTGCGCAGGATCGCCACTGGCCTCCGTTCAGATGAGGTCTAAGTCCAGGAAGCCGTCGCTGTCCGGAGCCAGGGAGCCATCTGAATCCTCGACGCGATCGGCAAGTCTAAACTTCTGTGTGATAGTGGTCCAATATAGGACAATATAGTATACTATCGTAAACTACATAGTGCAAGATCTAGTATCCTATAGCATAGCATAGTATAACTTTAACATATCACGATGTACTATAATGTAATGTAATAAATATGGTAGAGTAGAGCATAGTATAGTGTAACTCGTTGCTGCAATTCATGGCGCTCATGGACACTCTCGAGCCCGTTCGACCCTCCTCATCCAGCTGCATCCGACTGCCTGCAGAGCAGGTGCATTTCCCCAAGGTCTTCTAACTCTGGCCCCTGACTAAACCCACACAAGCACCCCTAACCCATTAACCCTCAACCCCCAGACCCCCCCAAAGTTTCTCAACCCTCAACCCCAAAACCCCTCAGCCCCAAACCCTGAAGCCCTAAACCCCTCAACCCTAAACCTAAGCCCCTAAGCCCCAAAATTTTCAGTCCCTAAACCCTAAATCCAAAGCCCCTAAAGCCCTGAACCCCTAGAACCCTAAACACACTAAGAGCGACCCTGACTCAAAACCCTAAATTGGCCCTAAACCCTAAGCCCTAAACCCTACACCCTAAACCCTAACCGCCCTAACCCTAACCCCTAACCCTAACCCCTAAACCCCAAACCCTGAACCCTGCACCCTAAACCCCAAGCCCTAAACCCCAAACCCTAAACCGAAGCCCTAAACCCCAAACCCCCTAAACCCCAAAGCCCTAAGGGCTGCCCGCCTGAGTAGACGCGTCCCGGACTCCAAGGCCGGGAACTCCGAGGGCCAAAGGACGGCAAAGGCTGCGCCACAGGGGCGAGAGACTGGGTTCTTGTTAGGGGATTTATCTTAAGTTACCATAATAAGGAAACCATATTATTTTACCAGAGAGACTGGGTTCTTGTTAGGGGACCTATTTTATAATGGTTTAGGGGTTAGTAAATGTTAGGGGATTTATTTTATAATGGTTTAGGGGTTAATAAATGTTAGGGGCTCTATTTTATAATGGTTTAGGGGTTAGTAAATGTTAGGGGATCTATTTTATAATGGTTTAGGGGTTGAAAAATGTTAGGGGATCTATTTTATAATGGTTTAGGGGTTAATAAACCCTGAATGAACCGGCTTCTTCTTAAGGAGACCAATATAAGTTACCAAAATAAGGAAACCATATTATTTACCATAGATCCCGATTATGGTAATTTGAATAAACAACAAGAACCCAGGAGAGCCAGGAGATGTAAGATGGCTTAGGATGGCCTAGGGCTTCGGATGGGTTTAGGGTTTTAGGGTTTAGGGTTTAGGATGTATATATATATATGTAGATATATATATATATATACATATATATATATACATATATATATATATATATGTATACACATATGTATGTACGGGTAGTTCTCTAAATCAGGAT